CTGCTAAATGGAAATATGCAATGGACAGCGAAATCAATTCCATGCATGACAACCAATTTTGGAATTTGGTTGATAATGTATCGGGTCGAAAGACAGTTGTGTGCAAATGGATCTCCAAGAAGAAGACCGACATGGATGGAAAGGTACACACTTTCAAGGCTTGACTGGTTGCGAAAGGTTTTACTCAAACCCCAGGGGTTGACTATGATGAAACCTGTCTCACCAGTGGCCAAGATAAAATCTATTCGGATAATGCTCGCCATAGCTGCATTTTATGACTATGAAATTTGGCAAATAGATGTCAAAATCGCTTTCCTTAATGGGAAGTTGGCTGAAGATGTTTACATGAATCAACCAGAGGGTTTTATAGATGCAAAGTATCAAAGTAGAGTGTGCAAGCTTGATAAATCCATATATAGATTGAAACAAGCATCTCACAGCTGGAATCTTTGCTTCCATGAGAAAGTTAAAGAGTTTGGTTTCTCTAGGAGTGAAGATGAGTCTTGTATGTATATCAAGGCTATTGGGAGTATAGTGACTTTTCTGGTTTTGTATGTCGACGACATACTACTCATGGGAAATGACATTCCAACTTTGCAAGAAGTGAAGTCTTGGCTTGGAAAACGTTTTGCCATGAAAGACCTTGGAGAAGATGCCTATATTCTTGGGATAAGAATCTTGAGAGATAGAAATAAGAGACTAATTGGACTTAGTCAAAGTATATACTTGAATAAAGTACTAAAGAGGTTTAGTATGGAAAATTCCAAGAAGGGAGAGCTACCTATCCAGAGCAATACCAAATTGAGTAAGACTAAAATCCCTAGTACAGATGACGATATAACTGATATGAGTCGGGTACCTTACGCTTCGGCTGTAGGGTCGATCATGTACGCTATGACATGTACTCACTCTGATGTGTCTTTTGCCTTGAGCATGGTCAATCGTTATTAGGGAAACCCAGGTAAAGCTCATTGGACATCAGTTAAAAACATTCTCAAGTATCTACAAAGGACGAAGGACATGATTATAGTCCTTGGTGGCAGTGATACATTGAGAGTAAGTGTATATAGTGACGCCAACTTTCAGACGGATAGAGACAAATTCCGTTCTCAATCAGGCTGGGTGTTCACTCTAAACGGTGGAGCGGTAACTTGGAAGAGTTCCAAGAAGAACATGGTGGCTGATTCAACATGTGAATTAGAGTACATAGCTGTAAGTGAAGCATCAAAGGAAGCGGCTTCAGTGAGGAACTTTATCGGTGGCCTTGTAGTTGTCCCAACCATTCAGGAGTCAATGGAACTTTTCTGCGATAATGAAGGAGCGGTTGCCTTGACTAAGGAACCAAGAGATCATGGAAAGTCTAGACATATCGGCAGAAAGTACCATTAAATTAGACATAGGGTAGAAGAAGGTCATTTCATGGTGAAGAGGGTATCATCAGAAGAAAATCCTGCAGATCCCTTGATGAGTTAGGGTTATCTAGGGCTTCCTTGTACCGCTATATAAAGGACCCTAAGGCCTCCAAATTTCGGCCACTCCATTCTCTAGAGAGATAGTCAAAATTTCAAGCCTTCCCTCTCATCTCTCCTAAGTCATTCTCTTGCTAGTTTGGGTGTGATTCTATTAGAGGTACGATACTTGTGGTGCTTCTTCCAAGAGATGTACTTTTGAAGAATCATTGTTATTTACTACAATAACAATTAAGGTATGTAATCCTAAACTCTAATTTATTATTTTCAAAAAATTACCTAGGGTTCTTAGGGTTTCCTATTTTATGTTAATAGTATAGGTTCAATAATGAAAACATAGATCCTTTAGGTTGCATGTGAACTTAAGGGTTTTAAGTTTATTTGTTTGACCTAAATCCCATCAATACTTCCCCTTTAGAGTATGATCATGTGTTATAGAGCATGTGCAAGCATGTGAATGTATGGATATTGGATGTAATTGTTCATTACATCGTTGTTAGATTTTGCTATGATACATAACTTTTGTTATGTTTTATGATGTGTATGTTATGCATGCAAAGAGTTAGATTAATGAATCCCTAGGAAGAATATGTTAAAGTATGCATGGAAACAGAGATGATGATGATCGGTGGTTAACCACCCGATATATGTGTAGATGTTTGGTTACTTATGTGACAAGCCAAATTATGTTATGTATGATTATGTTGTTTTATGTTTATGTTATAACTCACCAGACTTATAGTTTGACAAATATTGTTTCCATGTGTTCAATAGGTTCGGGTAGGAAGCATTAGAGAGTGAGGAATTAAAAGCATCAAAGACTATGAACTAGAATTTTGTTTCACAATTATCCTTGTTTTCTTAGTTATGGTTATGATATGAATCCAATACACCCACAAATGTTTTTCTAGGAATTCTTATTAATGGTTTTTGAAACTTTGGTTTGTGGTATCAATTATGTAAACTTTGATATTATTCCAATATTTAAATATTAAATGTTTATGAAAAATATGGGTTGTTACAGTTTGTATCAGAGCAATAGTTTAAGCAAATTAGGTTGGATTGTCCCTACCTAGGCTTAAACTATGTGAGAAAAAGAAAGAACCATAGTGTTTTAGGGTCTTTTACTTTAATACTTATGTGGATTTTAATTGTTAGATTACATGAATCAACTTATTCATGTTAAGTGGTTTATGGTTACAGAAATGGTTCGTACTAGAAGCGGAGTAGATCCGCAAGAGGGCGAAGGGAATTCTGTGCCTAAAGGGAATCCCCAGTTTGTCACCATGGAAGCTATTAAGAGGTTTCTTGATGAATTAAAAGAAAAGAACCACCAAGAAATGAATCTTCTCTAAAGATTTTATGCTCTAAAATCACGAGCATCTTCGGAAAAAAAATCATATGTTCGAAAATAATTTTTTCCTTTCACTAATTTGTGTATTTTTATAAAATAATTTCAAGTTCTCTATATTATAAACATTGTTAAAAAAAGCCACTGTATTAGGTATTCATGTCAATTATTTCATAAACATGAGCGAACAGACTTCCCCCAACAATATGAGTTACAGATCATGGATGATTTGTTTGCCGATATTCTTCGCCAATTTAGGCATTCACATTGTCGTTAGGTAAGAGATCATCAAATCTAACCTACAACCGTCTGAGAAGATATACCCACTCGTATGTACAATCTAGAAGGGTCTACACGGGATCTGGAATGCCCTTGAAAATAGTAATGTTTTTATCTATTGCTTTGATAATTTTTTTTAGATAGAATTATATTGGGGACTACTCTTTTAGGAATATCAAACAAAAGATAATAATTCATTACTTTATATGTAAACTTTATTACAAATAAAAAAGCTCTTTTATGTGATAAATATTTTGTAATATACTAATGTAAACTTTATTATAAATAATAAAACTCTTTTAAGTGATGACCGTAGGCTATGATGAATGCCTATTCCTTGTGTGCCTAAAGAACACGATGAACTTTTTCGTTACAAGAAAGCAACATCTTAAGTTAACCTTATGTACCTAAAGCACATGATGTTTTTTTCCTTCTAAGGCTGGAGGGTGTGGTGCGGTTCCAGGAAGTGCGGTTTCGCCACAAAAGCAGCGAACAACGCCCCCTGGGTGCGGTTTGGTGCGGTTCAAACCACAGTGTGGCAAAAAATGGCCGCGGCTTGTGATTGGGGGTAGATAATTTGACTGTTTTGTGATTGGGTGGGGAGAAATTAAAGTTTTTATTTAATTTTTTTTTAAAATAAAGTGTGGCACCACTCCTTGGGTGTGGCAAGGAACCACACTTTTGTGGTAAAAATGACGTGACGCTTACGTGACAACAAAGAAAGTGCGGTTTCGGTGACACCACTCCCTCATCCTAAGAAAGCAAGATTTAAAGGAGAATAGTTTAAGGGCCATAGTGAAGATTAAGCCTTTTGATTTCTAAGAGAAGAAGATTTAAAAAGCTTTTGTCTTCTTCTATATAGACAAATTATCAAATTTTCTTCTTTTATATGGAAAGATTATCTACGAATCTCTAAGTAAAGTTTCAATACTTTAGTGCAGTTAATGCAAAAGTCCAACTAAACTTTATTTACAAAAAAACACATAATCTCTGCAAAAAACTTCGGAAAAACTCTTTTTGCGAAGTTTCGTAAATTTAGCCGATATCCTGTATTTTCGTTAATCTGATCAAAATACTGAGACATTTCTTATGATTACCTTATTTTTAACCAATAATCAAAATATTGAGATGTTTTTTTAAAAATTACCCTTGAATTTATGTATAATATTATTAACAAACCATTTATAAACATAACATATCTTTTTATTATAAACAAAAGAAATACAGTTGTTGTTAGCTTTTAGGAATAAGAAGGTCGACAAAATAATCTTTTATTGTTTACTGACCATTTCAAACTCTCTACGTTACTCAATACCTTACATGGTAACCACCATGGGTTGACACACATCCATCGAGAGTGAAAAATAAATTTTGATTAACAATTCAAGGTATTTTCAGGAAAAAAAAATCGAAATATTTTGATTATTGGTTAAAAATAAAGTAATTTTTAAAAAAGTCTCAATATTTTGACCAAATTAACATACTGGTTATATCTGCAAAACTAACCAAAAAAAGTTTTTTCAAAGTTTTAGCAGGTATTAAGTGTTTTTTTGTTAATAAATTTAGTTTAAGTTTCATAAACTAAGCTAAAATATTAAAATTTTACCGGAGATTTCTCAATTATCACATTTGAATTATCAAAATTGAGAATATCAAAATTGAGAAATGAGAATCCATGGAAAGGGATCTCGTTGGATTTGTTTTTTTAAATAGTAATAAAAAGTTTCATATGTGATAGTCAGGGACATAATGGTTACAAAATAAACCTTTGGATTAAAACCTTGGATTTTTGTAAACCAAAAGGACTATTTCCTTCTTTTACTCTATAAAATTTGAATTCGATGTTAACACGTTAAGTTTTTAGCGTCCGTCCAATAACAAACGTTTCAATCACATAAACAAGGAAAAATTTCGATCCCATGGCGTCAGTTTAACTGTCAAATATGTACATTGGGCAAATGGTGCTACGTGTTTCCGACATTATCGTAGGTTTTGGAGCCATTTGGATTCTAAACAGGAAGTCAACAAATTGCGTTACCTACCTGCTTTCTTCTGATCCGACCGCGTGTTGACCGCCGATAACTCGCAACTCCGTCACCATCACCACCACCAATCATTCAACTTCAGACGACTTTGAAAAGGCAACGAAAGGCTATGTACGATTTCTTACTAATTCTGTAATTCATACACGTTTCTGAAGTCGATTAAATAATCTGCTTTTAATCGATTCAGTTCTCACTGAGTGATTTTAGTTTTTCCGGTTTGTTAGTAAATCCTTTTGTGAAATTGTTCATCTGGAATCTATTTGAGTTGTAAAGCCAGTGAAGATCGATTTGTAATTGCGTGTTAGGGCTGTTAAATCTATTGATTAATTAAATAATTGGTCAACACCTTGAATCCTCTGCAGCTCTGTTGATGATTCTCACTAATCCGTGAGTTTTTTGAGCAACGATTTGGGATTACCAAATGATTGTCTCTGGTCTTCTAACGTCTGTTTCAATCAATTTTGCGCTTTGTTCAATCTTCTTCATCTTGTATTCGGTGTTGAGGAAACAACCTGGAAATTACAAAGTATATGCTCCACGTTTGCTTGCTGAAGGGAGAGCAGAACGACCAAGTCGATTCAAATTATTCAGGTTGTTACCAACTGCTGGTTGGATATGGAATGCATGGCAGCCTTCAGAAGATGATCTGTTAGCATATTCAGGACTCGATGCTGTGGTATTCATGCGAATTATCATCTTCAGGTGATTTCAAAATTCAAAACACACTAAATTAACATTTGAAGCTTTTAGGTTTTAATATCTGCTTTTTTCCTAATTGATGTTTATTGTTGTTTTCACTTTTCAGTTTAAAAGTGTTCAGTATTGCTGGATTTATTGGAATCTTTGTTCTAATTCCTGTGAACTGCTCTGGAAATCAGTTGCAAAACATCGATTTGATAAACATTTCAAACAATTCACTGGAAATATTTAGCATTTCGAATGTAAACAATGGCTCAGACAGGTAAAACTTGTTATCATAAAAGGTGAGAAGATATCTCATATCTGACATATGCCCTCTAATCTTGTCGCAGTTTATGGATACATGTAGGTGCTGTATATCTTCTCACCATTATTGTGTGTTACCTTCTCTTTACAGTAAGTCTTACATTAATTATCAGAAAACGAGTTATGGGTCCATTTTATATGGCCTAATGTAATGATCTTGTTTTGTTTTCATCCCTTAGGAATATAGATATATAGCTTCAAAGAGGATTGATTATTTCTGTTCATTAGAACCTCAACCAAATCAATTCACTATCCTAGTCAGCAATATACCTGTTCCAAAAGGGAGCACTGTTGGCCAGAGTGTTGAAAAGTTTTTCACTGAAAATCACCCCAACACTTATCTATCTCATGTCGTGGTTCATCGAAAGAGCAAAATGTGGACTGTAACTGTAAGTTATTTCTCATATTTAAAAAAAAAAAAAAAAAACGGTGTCAAAAGCACCCCAATTAAAATACACTTTCAATCTTTGAGGCCATTTTCCCAACATAGTCATAAATTTTTCATTTATTACAGAATGCTGCAAAGAAGATCTACAGAAGGATTATGAATTCCATAAAGCCGCCAAATGAGCCACAGTTCATGCATTATGGTCATTTAGAGGCGAATGTGAAAAAGGACCATTCAAGAGAGGTAGACACGGATTATATTAATTTCTCTTGTATTTATGATGTTGCTTGTATTGATTTCCCATTTTTGATTAATTTTATGTGTGTTTTATTGATAAGAAAGGAAGTGAGAGCTGCGTTTGTGTCTTTCAAGTCACGTTATGGTGCTGCAGTTGCTATTCACATGTTACAAGCAAATAATCCAACACAATGGCTAACTGAGCCAGCACCCGAGCCACAAGATGTGTATTGGCCATTCTTTTCTTCAACATTCATGGGAAGATGGATTTCTAGACTGGTAGTCATTGTAGGGTGTATGCTTCTTACAATTGTATTCCTTATTCCAGTTTTTATAGTTCAAGGACTCACAAATCTTGCTCAGCTAGAAACTTACTTCCCCTTCCTCCAAGGCATCCTTACCATGTAAGTACTTTTCAGGTATCCAGCCAATTACAAATACAGATACAGATAGAAATAGAGGGTTAATTTTTTGTAAATTGGGATGTGAATGTGATGTGGCAGGTCTATTGTAAGTCAAGTAATCACGGGTTATCTTCCAAATCTGATACTTCAAGTATCACTGAAAATAGTCCCTCCAATCATGAAACTTCTATCTTCAGCACAAGGCTACATTTCCATTAGTGAGATCGAAAGAAGCGCGACTCACAAAGTAATCTGGTTTACTGTTTGGAATGTCTTCTTCGCCAATGTTTTATCCGCCTCAGCCTTCAGTCTCATTTTCATATTTCTAGAATTCAAAGACATTCCTTCAAAGCTAGCTGTCTCCGTCCCCGCCCAAGTAATAATAAAAAAAAAAAAAAAAAAAAAAAAAATTATATCCAACAATTTTCAAATTCATTTTCCATTAAAATTAATTTTTATTTTTTTGTTTCAGGCGTCATTTTTCATTGCTTATGTTATGACATTAGGGTGGACGAGCACTTCTTCAGAACTCTTCCGTGTCGTTCCTTTCATTGCAAGTCTAATAACCAAACCCTTTGTTAAAAATCCAGACGATTTCACAGTTCCATCTTTTCCTTATCATCAAGACATTCCCAAAATTCTTTTTTTTGGACTTTTGGGGTTTACTTATTTTTTTCTTGCTCCTCTCATTATTCCTTTTCTCTTGGGTTACTTTTCTCTCGCGTACATCATTTATCGTAACCAGGTTGGTTTCACTTCAACTTTCATAAATCTTACTTTTTATTTTCATGTATATTAAAATTATAACTTTTATGATGATAAAATGTAGCTTTTGAATGTATACGCGCCAAAGTATGAATCTGGAGGAAAATTTTGGCCAGTTGTTCATGATTCGACTATTTTCTCACTTGTTTTGATGCAATTCATAGCATTTGGGATCTTTACTTTGAAGAAGCTTCCTCATTCAACAAGTGCGACTCTTCCTCTTCCGATTCTCACTCTTTTGTTCAATGAATATTGTCGAAAGCGGTTTCTACCCATTTTTATGGCCTATTCAACCGAGGTATATCATATCATATAAATTACAAAATGGTTTCATTTGTTGCAGATATGGCCCATGGGCCATGACCATAGTAGTTAAATTCTTAAATCTAACTATTCACCTGTTAGATTTTATAATTTGGACAATTTGGACATTTTAAACAATCTCGAAAAAATAGTATACCCCAAAGACCTAAACTGTAACTTACTCATTATAACAGCATTTTATTATTAATTATCTTAAAAAGATGTATGTTTTTAAATTATTTTACATTTTGAATATGATAGTTTTCATGGTTAATTTCATATATGGGTAACGAACTATTTTTTTTTCCACAAAATATCATTGTTTTAAAGTACTATTAGAAGGTAAGAAAAACAACCGGAACATTATATTTACAAAAATATCATTAGTTTTATAATAATCCAGATAGTTTATTACCTATTTATGACATTAACCATAAGTTTTAACAATAAACTTTTTATAGTATTTTTTAATTTAACTATTAATTTTTTTCCACATTTTTTTTAAATATAACTACCTAACTATGAGTAAGGTAGAAATTTGGTTATTATTTTTTCGGGTTTAGTCCAAGGGTAAATTGGTCATTTTAAAATACAAACTAACAACTGGGAATCTAGATTTAACGACTCAAGGACCATATTGGACCGGACATGTAGTTTCCATGATGTCACAAGGACCAATTTTGTAATTTACTCTATTAGAAAAATAGAGATAAATTCTTGCTACTAAATGTTTTTTTGGGTGTTTTCGTGTGTAAAGACTTTATTAAAGAAAGACAGAGAAGATCGAAATCTACCTGGAATGGCTCGGTTTTTAGGGCAACTTGGTGTGGTGTATTATGACCCTGCGTTAGTGCCTCTTACGTATTCTAGAAGTCAAGATACTCTTCATGAACCCCTTATACCTACACAAGTTCGACGCTAAAATAATATATAATGTACTTAGTCTTTTAAGATACTAGTTAAGTCATCATGATATGTGTGAAAAATCAGATTTTTTTTTTTTATAAACCTCCATTCTTTTTTATGCTTGAAAATCTTGTAATTATGTGTTCGAGTTGTAATTTGTAAAAAGGCGTTCTTGTTATGTGCATAGATTCATATGTAACGTCAAAATGCTCACAAATGTTGAATTTCATAATGTTATTAGTAAAGAAAATTTAGATATGTTGGTTTTATAAGTTAAGGACTTCACCTGGATATTTATACAATATTTTACTTATTTTTTCACGAACTACTCACACTTTAAAATTGACGAATATTACAAAATTAAATGATTGAATGTGCTTTGAAGCTATGAGACTTGAGTAGCATTATTCTGTTGGGCCTAACACTCTTGCTCATTGGGTCAAGCTCTTAGAGTAGCATTCCCTTCGAATTATATATTTTTATATTTTTGTAGTGAATTATCAAAAGTAAACAACAAAATTTTCATCCACTAGCTGGGGTTTGCAAATCTTCTAACAAGAAATGCTAAATGACATTTTATGTGGACGAAGTCTTTGGAAGACTAATGCATTTTATAAGTCGTAACTACAGTTGCATGCAAGTCCCCTTTGAAATATGATATAAAAACAATACCGTCAATCTATAATAAGCTTGTTATCTAGTTCAAAGTTAACTTAATTTGTTAGGATATGATAATATTTATTAATTTTTAAAATATCTTCTTTTATTAATTTAAGGTTTCTGATCAATCTCTTTATATGTCTTCTAATCTCTTGACCCTAACTAGTTATTATTGAATGCTTTTTACAATCTTAATAATATACACGTGTATATATGTATGTATTATACCAAAGTTTTTTAGTAATGGTATCTGCAGTACATTATAAAAATAATTTCATTAAACATAGTATTACAAAAACAACACCATCAACATCATATATGCATCTAAAATCATATCTATGTTAACATTTTGTTTTTAATATACAACCACAAAAACAACACCCACAATCTGAAAAGAAGATGGTGAGGAAAAGATTTTTGATATACGAAATGAAGATCTGCAATAACATATACAAACGCCGATTATAAATTTAAACTATATCCAAAATTCCTTATTACTGATACAAATAATTATTATATATTCGAATTATATACAACGTTGAATAAATATTAATATTTGATTTCCTTTTACATTGTTAACGCATTCGACTAAAACAATGTCACTTTTGGAGTAATCAAAGAGATATCCTGAAGGGGATTATATATGATGGTGACCTATGGTTTCTTGAGTGGATAGGGAATCAACATTGTGGTTTTATTGGAATTCATATGTTCAAGATTTGTTTCATTAGTATCGAAACAATGCAATATAGGATAAACCAAATTCTCAACATCTGATAATATATGCTTTTTTTTTTTTTTTCTTTAGGTTACTGATGGTACGCATATTTTAAGGGTTGGTTTGATAATACGTATGTTTATTTGTTTTTTATTATTATTATAACTACAACAATGTTGTGGTATTTATTTCATAACAATATCGTAGTGTATTTCGTAAAATGATCTCAATTTATAGAGTAAGAAGTCTAGCTACATTAATTTGTTTCGTTTGTAAAATGTTGAGAAAAAAAATACTAATCACTTCTAATACTTATAAAGGGTCATTTGGTTGAGTATCCAAATAAAAAATGTAAATTCATAATAGAATATATTTAATTTATTTTTGCGGTAACTTTTCATCAACCTTTATTTAACAAAAATCAATACACTAAAGGACTTTTAGCCCAATGGTATCCGGTATTGTTCACTCTCTTTGAGGTTGAGGGTTCAAGTTCCGTTGTCGACATAGATGCATTTAAGAAGTGTAGTTTATGAATAGGTTATATTTGTTGTTTAAAAAAACATACCACTCCACATCATCAGTTTAATTTTTATATTTATTTTTCAGTAGATAAAATAATAAATGAAACAAATAAAAATGTTAGATTTAATTAAAAATGTTGCATCAATTTAATTTTCACCTTCAACATTTGTATCTCCCTTCCATGTAAAAAAAACGATTTTGGAGATTTATGCAACTAATACCAGGTGTTTATATAAGTAAAAGGTTTAGGTTATGTTGAGATGCTTTGTATTGTTTGAGCGCCGCATCAAGGACCTTGTAGTCGTTACTCCTATTTGGATGTGTATTTTTGAGGTTTTGTACTTGTAAATGTCGTTGAATTCGATTATTTTTAATCTGATATCGCGCCATTTTGATAAAAACCAGTTGAGATGCCGATAAATACTTTTATTGTGGAAATGGTTTAGAATAGACTCTCAAAATGTATCTCTTCACTTTGAAAGGTTTTTAGACATATAAATCATTTTTTTTTCTTGTTCCTCCTAAAATTGTTAGGTTTGGAAATTTGATTCTTGTAGAGTTAAATCCTTATAAAATATTTTAATATAAAATCAATTGATTATATATATATATATATATATATATATATATATATATAAACTATCATAACGAGGTGCTACAAAGTATAGTATATAAATACTCATTGTTATATATATATATATATATATATATATATATATATATATATATATAGAGAGAGAGAGAGAGAGAGAGAGAGATAACTAGGTTATTCTATTCTAACTATCTATTGTGTGTATATAAGAATAATTATGGTCCAATCATTTTTATTAATTTAAGAGAGTGATTTATGTATATTATTAAATTAAAGACGATGGAGATTGGTGGTGAATTTCGAGCAACGATTGGTGGAGGCATCGACGGAGGGTTGTTGTCGCCGATGGGGTGGAGTTAACGGAGGGAATGAGTCGTCGGAGGAAGAGTCGATCTTGAGGGTTCAAATTCCAAACCCATTGATGAGTAGTCAAATTAAATTACCAATTCACCCACTGATATCGTCTCTGTATGTGGGTATAAAAATTGTTGAACCTAGGAAGAAATTTGAACCCCCAATTGATATAATCAGAACCCTACTTGAAGATCAGACCAGGTTCGATGAAGGACGAATACATATGAGATTATCAGGAAGAAGTGATGGTTGTGGACGATGGCGGAAAGTAGAATATGGATGAGTGCGATGGTTTAGAGAAAGTGTGGTTAAGAACTGCGTCCGGCGATTATGGCAGCTAGACGATGAAGATACGTAGGTTATTGAGATGTAACAACATTTAAAGGAATTTGACCCATTATTTTAATCCGAGATATAATAGATTTTCCATATATATTGGAACTTATTTAGGTGTATAAAAGAAAATTACCAATATAGCCTTACCTAGGTTTTTAAATTGATTGGTCCACAATCATCCCTACATCCACACAATATATAGTTAGAACATATGAACCTAACTCCTAACTCTCTCTCTCTCTCTCTCTCTCTCTCTCTCCCTATATATATATATATATAATATATATATATATATATATATATATATATAGAAGTAAGTTCAAATAAAAACAGTAAATAGTGTGAGAACGTAAAAACACTATGTTTATGTTATTATTCTGTAATGAATTTTGTATATGTGTATTGTTGAACTAATTCTAATATAAATATTAACTTTCGATTAGTCATATATTCATTACAATGTTATTATTCTATTATAAACTTATGTATGTGCATTTTTGTAGTAAATTCTAATTTTAATTTTAACCTTTGACTATTCATTTATTCTTTGCTGAATAATGACATAAAGTTGTCGATACAAAATTCATTGCAGAATAATAACATAAAAAGTGTTTTTACGTTCTCACACTATTTACTGTTTTTATTTGAACTGTCCCCTATATATATATATATATATATATATATATATATATATATATATATATATATATATATATATATATATATACACTAAACTGCAAAAATGGTGCTTATGGTTTGTCGAAAATTGCTAAAACCAAAAAGTTTTGATCTAGTATTACAAGTTAAAAACTAACTCCTGCTACAACCGGCTACAACTTCTGGTGGTGGTGGTTGTGCTGTTTAGCGTGTTAGAATAGGTGTCCAATGTCATAACCAAATTGGTATAACTTTATGAAATAAAAGTAAAGTCATTTTTAAGTTGCCATCAATAACTAGAAATAGCTAGAAATGAATTTAGGAGAAAGATAAAATGATTTGTTTATATATTATATGATTAATAAATTAATTAGAAATAGTTGGAACTAATTAATTCTTAATCAAAATTAATCTAGAATTAATTTGAGGTTAATTGGAATTAATTAAAGATGCAATGGCTGAATTGTAATTGTTCAATAATTAAGCAATGAATGCAATTCTAGAACTCTTCATGGTATGGACGGTTTTGGATGGTTTTATGGATTCTGGAAGCCTCTTATAGCTGATAAGGATAATTGCATTGAATAGATTAAATCTGAATATTTAATTATTCAAATTAGGATTTATTATGGAGATCCACTTGTTATAAATAGGACCCTTTGGCATCAAATTTTCGTGGATTTTACCTTACACAAGTAGAAATACAAATTTCACTTCATCTCTCCTCTCTCCTTTTTTATTTCAAGAGTTCTAGGGTTTTGATTGTGAGTCATTAGAGGCGTTCACACTAGTGGTGCTAGCTTTCCATGAGTCATTGAAGATCAAAGGTATAAGTATATGCGTTTATACTTAAAGGTATGTTACTAATATGATTTATAGTTTCTTATGAGTATATTAGATCGGTTTTTCATAGTATGTTGTTATAATAAGAAAATGTCATAGATCTCTAAGTTGCATGTGCCCATAAATTGTTTTATGAATTCTGATGCGTTCTTTTATGTTTTATTGTAACCTAGAAAACTCATCAGTGGTATCTGACCCTAAGATTTTCTATTATACGTGCATTGGTGAAAAACTGAAAAACTGAAAACCGGGAAGAAACCTATTGAATTCCAGGCGCGCCGCAGCCCTCTGCCTTGCGCGCCGCAGCCTATCCTCATGTAGCTCTTGGGATTTGCTTGCCTTTTTTGAATTGTATGATAAATACTAGTTAATTATGGTTATTTTAATTGCTTAAAATCGGAACATTTAAACTATGTAATTAGATAAATCCTAATTTCGAAAATTATGGAAGAAGAAAAGAATTAATATTATTTAATTAAAAGTTTAATGGTGATAATTGTTTAATTCCTAAAAGATTTAATATAATTAA